CAACTGAACGCTGTCTCCATGTCATTCCTTCTTCGCTGACTCCGTCCACACCTTTGGGGACCCCTGGACCTGCTGGGGTTGGACCCCAGCAATAAGTAAATAAAATACAATATACAAGATTATATTAAAATTGTCTACATGTCCCGTTTGCAATGGATAAAGGGTATTCTATTGAAAACATTCACTATACCTAGAAACTTTTCATCTTTGCTCAGAAATCAAAGTCTCCCTCATCTGTTCTACAGAAATATTTTCATAATTTAATTAAAAAGAAACAAAATTAAAAATAATTTTATTAATAGCTGTGAACTTAGCATCTCAAATAAACAAATGTTAATATTTGTTTCTTATTTTTTCTTAAAGCTATTTTCCAAATCTAGAAATTTCTTGACTGATAAAGCACTAATCATCACTTAAGATTATTATAGGTTCAACCAGCTGTATGACCTTGGGTAAATTAACTTTCTGATCCTTAGTTTTCTCATTTGAAAAATGGAGAAAACAGTACCTATCTGTGCTAGATTACCTTCCATTGCCCCTCAGTGTCCATGCTCTACCTAGCTTTTTGCCCATGGAAGTTCTAGTTGGGTTATATGAATAGGAGGTACTAGCAGTTTATTCCCTACCAGGTCACCAAGGGCTGGTTATATCCCTCTATCAGAAGCAGTCCTCTCCATACACCATTCCTAGGACTTTAACCATAAGGATGGTAATGGCTCCCTTAAGCCCTAGGCTCTGTATTATCCATTGCTGACTTCCACTAACCCTGTCCATATCTTTATACAGTTCCCTTATTAAACTCTTTTCAATTCACCCAGTTTGAAAGTGCCACCTGTTTCCTGCCAGACTGTCTGATTCATATATAACCACATGGGTTTGTTTTGAGGATCATAAGTTTTGAGGAGCACATGATAAATATTCATTAAGTGTTGACAACCTTTGTCATTATCAACATTGTTGTTATCAGTATTTTATTTGAGGTTCTATACCAGGGGAGGGGAAACTTTTTGACTCGAGGGCCACAATGGGTTCTTAAACTGGACTGGAGGGCCGGAACAAAAGCATGGATGGAGTGTTTGTGTGAATTAATGTACATTCAAAGTAAACATCATTACATAAAAGGGTACGGTCTTTTTTTTTTAGTTTTATTCATTTCAAATGGGCCGGATCCAGCCCACAGGCCGTAGTTTGCCCACGGCTGTTCTATACTCATGTTCTCTATACCACATGAATATATTCAAGAGACTGAGAAATTCAGAATTTTGGAGATCTTTTGCTAATGCTCACAATGCTTAAAAAATATGTTCAAATGCAAACTATGTTTATTGCTAGTCAATCTCATATTTAAAAAGAGTAAAAAGGACCTTAAAAGTGAGTAAAAAACCCATATAGTAGACAAGATTTCCTGGACTGTAGTTTCTTCTGTAAATACTAGTACGCTTTGGAATTCATTTCCTACAAATTCACCTCCTGCCATCACACCAAATCTAGCAAAGCATAAATGTCCATAAAGTTAAAAAAAATTGTTGGGTCATGGGATCATGAAAAGAGTGGACTGCAAGGTAAACTCAATGACATAAAAGTCTTGCTTAATCTGGAAATGCATCTTTATCATTCTTACTTATCAATCATGACATAGGCAAGCATCACCATTTGACAAATCACTCATCAAAATTCTAGTAAATGTCTACTTAAACTTTCACCTTACCTCATCCTTTATATCTTCCTGTTGTTGGGCTGTGAAGATCTCCATTGCTGCCATGAGTCTCATCATTAACTCATCCACTGTTGTGTTACCTAGCAACACATGGAGATTGTCAAACTTAATTATTATAAAATAGGAAGTCATTCTAGAATTAATCATAATAACTATAATCTAAAAAATATACAAACTAGCTGAAACCGGTTTGGCTCAGTGGATAGAGCGTTGACCTGCGGACAGAAAGGTCCCAGGTTTGATTCCGGTCAAGGGCATGTACCTGGGTTGCAGGCACATCCCCAGTAGGAGATGTGCAGGAGGCAGCTGATCGATGTTTCTCTCTCATCGATGTTTCTAACTCTCTATCTCTCTCCCTTCCTCTCTGTAAAAAATCAATAAAATATATTTTTAAAAAATACGAACTAATATGCTCTTATCTAGTTAAAACTGGTTTTGTAGTCATAGTTATAACCCTAGTTTCACCACTATGATCTAGTACTTAGAAATTATCTAGCACATGATGAGAGTTTAACAAATATTCACTTAATAAACAAATAAATAAGTGAATGAGTGATTGACTGTAGCTCTCTAAGGATCAATATTCTTATCTGCAAAATAAAGGTAACACTATCTCTGTAGGGCTCGTAGGAGGATTAGAGATAATATAAAGTGCCTAGTACATAATACACGTATAATCACTGGTAGTTATTATTAAGAGACATGATAAATGGCAAAAAGTTTAGGATCAAGTTTAATGCAGATTTTGTTCCTGTGCAAATCCTTGGGTTTTCATTTCTTATTTGTAAACTGTAGTGCATATGACTCAGAGTTCAAGGCATGAATACTTTATGGAGGGTACTGGAATCATCAATGGGAAAATACCATTCATAGTGGTAAAACTGACTAAATACTGACCATTAATTTTCAGGCTTAAGCCAATGCTTATAAACTACTAGAGGCCCAGTGCACGAATTCGTGCACCAGTGGGTTCCTTCGGCCTGGCCTGCGGGATAGGGCCAAAACCAGTTCTCCGACATCCCCCGAGGGGTCCTGGATTGTAAGAGGGTGCAGGCCAGGCCGAGGGATCCCACCGGTGCACGACTGGGGCCGGGGAGGGACATGGGAGGTTGGCCAGCTGGGGAGGGACTGCTGGTGGGCTCCAGGGCATGTCCGGCTTGTCTAGCTCAGTCCCGATTGGCTGGACCCTAGCAGCAAGCTAACCTATCGGTCGGAGCACCTGCTCCCTTGTGGTCAGTGCACATCATCGTGAGCAGTTGGGCAACCTTAGTATATTATTAGCATATGATATGCTAAGGCCGCTTTGACTGGTTGAATGGCTGACTGGATGACCGGACACTTAGCATATTAGGCTTTTACTATATAGGATGCTTCAACCCTAACTGTAAGGACTCACTGCCAAACTGGTCTTATGGGTACTTTATACTTAAGCCCTTAATGATCCAAGATGGAGAAAAGATACCAGTTAATGAAGTTCAGGGCAAATTTCTTCTTTATAGCTTACTGTAGCGGTTTTCAAAATTTTTGGCTTCAGAATCCCTTTATATTCTTGAGATCCCTAAAGAATTGTATGTGGGTTATAGTTATCAACATTTACTGTGATAGAAATTAAAACTGAAATATTTAAAACATTACTTATCTGCCGAAACTGGTTTGGCTCAGTGGATAGAGCATCGGCCTGCGGACTGAAAGGTCCCAGGTTCGATACCGGTGAAGGGCATGTACCTGGGTTGCAGGCACATCCCCAGTAGGAGATGTGCAGGAGGCAGCTGATCGATGTTTCTCTCTCATCGATGTTTCTAACTCTCTATCTCTCTCCCTTCCTCTCTGTAAAAAATCAATAAAATATATAAAAAAATAAAACATACTTATCAAATCTTTTAGAAGTGACAATAATAAAGTTATGACGTGTTAATATAAATGTCACATTTTTTATGAAAAATGACTCTATGTTCCAATAGAAAAAGTTTAGTGAAAAGAATAGGATTGTCTAACATTTAAAAAAAAAATCTCTTTAATGTGTGGCTTAACAGAGTAAATTGGATTCTCATATCTACTCCTATAGTAAATCAATTATAATAAATTGTCTTAGTTGAAATTTATGAAGCAATCTGACCTCACATAGCTATGTAGACAAAAAAGTGAATATTTTTTAAAGTGTGTTTTTATTGATTTTAGAGAAAGGGAAAGGGAGAGAAACACTGACTGGCTGCCTCCTAAGAGCCCCCTACTGGGGATCGAACCCTAAACCTGGGTATGTGCCCTGACCAAAAATTGAACCCAAACACTTCTGTCCATGGGCCAACACTCTACTGAGCAAACTGGCCAGGGCAGATGAGCAGTTCTTTATCATTATTTATGAAACGGAATGTTCTAATTATAGAGAAAACATAAAATACTGAGGTTTTATTTAGTCTGTGCTCCTGAAACATCTTTTTACCTGTGGCATAGGAAAGAGGTATTATTTTCAATTTAAGCTTTGCCACGAATAAGGTAATATTTTATGCTAATCAATAAAAAAAATCATTCACTTATTTTTTTAGTAAAGAATTTAAAGATTAATGTTTTTGGAAGTTTAAATTCATAGGTATCCTAATAACTTCATGCATCGGAGTTGCATCTTAGAGATGGATTTACCTTGTAAACAATTCCATTCGTAGTATCAAGTCATTGAACTTTCTAGATAACTAAAGATAAGCATTTCTTTCAACTAATCACACATTCAGCAAATCTCTAGGTATATATAAATATATGAAATGTCATATTTGACAACTGGTTATGACTTAATTGCTAGTTTAGGGAATTAAGCAATACTGAAGATTTAACACGATTATCCTATGTCTCAAGGGCTGTGTAACTTTATTAAGGCATTTCTGTTGGATTTTCATACAGAGTATTTCATTTTTCATAGTACCTATACTTTTTGAAGTTTTTCTTCCTCAAGAAGTTCTATATTTTCAAATGCAAAAATATTCACCAATATAAAAGATGGCTGTCAGCTTTGACAGTAAATATTGTAGGTTATCATATACACAAGGCACTGTACTCCCCTTGTGACATGTACTTTACCTTGTATCACATTTAATACTTCATTAGATGATCGCTTTCCCATAATAATCAGAAAAAGTGGAAACTGGTCTGTTTTTTGAGTCCGAATAGTTTGTGCAATAACACTGCCAAAGTGTCTATTGCACATGGTCAGAAATCTAAAATGAGATAAAATGCAAAGTAAGCTTCATTTCAGAGTTTAATAAATTTACTAGTATCCCAACATAAAACTTGCTGAATTTGTTGTTAAAATTAGACAGCTTGTTTGATATCAATATGTAAAGTCTTGCTATATTGAATTTTCCACTACCAAAATAAATGATATAGAAATGATTATCATTTAGAAAAGCAGGCAACACACCCTAAATGCCACATGAGGCTGACAGCATAGGATTCTTAGTCTTAAACACTGTAAGCTGTGCTACCCTAAACTATGAGAAAACAAACAAAATGAATTTTAACAGAAAACAATTTCTTAAATAGGACAAATATTTCAAGGTACAAAGTTAAATTGACTACCATTATCCTAATATAAAGAGCATTTAGCAACATTTCCACAAGTTTTTAGAAACAAGAATTGTACTTTAGAATCGTGTTTTCTCCAATAGTAGCAGATCTTTTAGTTTCATACTTAGTAAGGGATAAAAATAATAATTCTAAGCTTTTGGCCAAAAAAAGCTCAGATATTAGCATACCGAAGTCTAGCATTAGTATTCTTAACACGATCTGGAATAAATGAAAAAACTGATAAAGCTTTTCTCTTCTATTAGAGGACTGTTTGAAATTAGCATTTCTTTCAAGAGAAAAGGGTAGCTTATGATATGTTTTCAGATCTGATGGTAAAAAGTAAATGTCATAATAATAATGAATTATGAAAGACCAAATGCAAATATAGAATGCTTTAATAAGATCCAATTTAATAAAGTCTGTAAAAATAATGGACTTTTAATAACACAGGTCACAAAAGGCAAAACTGGAAATTCTGGGGACTAGCCATCAGTACTAGCTTATTAATTCTTAATTATGTTCATGAAAGGCAACTTAAATCGTGTGTTTTCTTATGCCTTATGATAATATTTTAGGTAACAACTCCTCTGAAATGTACGTTCCAGCTGATGAGCAAAGTCCTATTGTCACATGCATTAGAAGGTAAATCTATTTGAAAAGATAAACAGCATTAAAATGTCATGTGCTTAGATTCATTTGATATCCAAATTCAAAATAGAATCAAACCTCTTAATCTTTAAAGCTCATATATTTCTTGTGTATAGAAATTCACCCCCAAAATTTGGACTGAATCCTTCCCAAAACCTGTGATGTGACTATATAAAGTAGACCGTGTTAAGGTCCATTAGAATTGTCGGCAAGAATGTTAAAGCAAGTTAGCACTACTGCAAATAAGTTCATTTGAAGGCAGGCGCATATACATATTTAGAGAAGCAATAACCAGAACTCACTCCAATTTAAAATGACATGGCCTTAAGAAACCCATTGTTACCTGACCAGTGTGGTTCAGTGGTTGAGCATCAACCTATGAACCAGGAGGCCATAGTTTGATTCTCGGTCAGGGCACATGCCCGGGGTTGCAAGCTTGATCCCCAATAAGGGGCATGTAGAAGGCAACCAATCAATGATTCTCTCTCATCACTGATGTTTCTCTCTCTCCCTCTCCCTTCCTCTCTGAAATCAATAAAAATATATTTTAAAAAACAACAATAAAAACATTGTTGGCCATGAAATACCAGTGCCCCTATGGAAATTCAGATCTTCATATTCTACAACTATTATGAGATAAAAGGTGCTCAAGCAGCTTAAGCCTCTATCCCAAATTTCACATCCATATAGCTTGTTTCTCAATGATGTGTAGTTTAGGAGACTAGAAAGTTAAGATCTCATTTTTCTTTCCATTTCTTACTAAAATATTTGAAGTCAATCTTGATCCTGATCTGATCATTGGCAACCTCTGAAATTAAAGATGTCAAAAACAAAAACATAGTGTCATTTCCTACAAAAGGGAGAAAATAAGGTCTTGTTGCTTTCACACTGATGGATTAAATGGATATCACGCAGTAAATGCCATCACAGAGCTAGCTCACAAATGATACCAAATACTAGCTAAATTGGGATACTCCTCAAAACAGAAAGAAGGAAGGGAGGAAGGCTTAGTAGTTTTATGAATTGAATTTTAAAACAATTTTGCCTGAAAACTGTGTAGTTGCCAAATTCTCTTTTTGTGAAAATGATCTAAAAGAAAAAATAATTATGAAAATATAGTTATTTTATTGGGTTTAAAATAATATGTAACACAAATTTCAAAGCTACACAAAACATTCGAGAGAGGTGCAGACTTCAAAGACACAATTGTTCAATTAACCATAAAACAACAAAGTAATCAGTTCTACCAGGTATTGGCAAATCATTCTAATTTTTTGAAAGCAGTTGAGAAATACAGGGATCATACAGCCAGTTGATGCTTTCTAGTGGTCTTAACTAACTATTTGTTCTAATCAAAGGGAGACTTTGTTAAAATTTTAATTAATGCAATTAATCTTCCTAAGATATGAATCATGTATACTTTGAGATTTTCAAATTGTAATCATTGACAGCCCATAGGGACAATGGACAGCCACAAATCATAAAATTCTTACTTGTGAATTCCTTCCACTACAATTTATAAGCACTTCACAACACAGATATCAAATCTTTCTCGTGGCTGGGAGGTTCTGCTTGTTGTAAAGATCATTCACGCCACAAAGTCAGCATTTACAGCACACTACCAGCGGCAAAAATCCAGCTCAAAACACCAGAACAAACACACACACGGAAGACACAAGTTGTTTGAAGAGAAAATAATGTGGTTCTTTTGTTGTGGTATTTTCTTCCTTGAGAAGAGGTAAGTATGCCCGTGCATTTAGTGGCAACACCAAAGCTGTCAACCTAACTAACTGCATACGGTTTTCATCAGGGTGAGGAGCCATGAAGGGATAAATGGTGTCTACAGTAACTGGACTCCTGCAATATCAAACTCAAAAGGGGGCGCAGAGGCAACTGTTCTGTGGGAAGGAAAAATGGCTTTGTGTTTTTCATTATAAAATATTTTAATAAATCAAACAACCTACTTATCACAGACCTATCTGGGGAAAAACAAGTTGATTAATCAACCTCTCAAACAAAAAGCTAAAGTGACAAATATGTAAAGACAAAGAACAAATACCCTCACTAAGAGGGTAAAATGAGGGAGAGAAAAAGGGAGGTAGAACAAGAAAAAGGGTTAAGGAAATAAAATAAAGAAAACAGTTAATCACAAATCAGGTATAATAACACAACTCATTTGTCTCTGGGGGTTGGATTAGGGAGTGGGAAGTCTCAAACTGTGACCTTGGTGAAGAAACAAAATCTAATCCATAGCTCATATTCACCAGTTCTTGCTATTAGAAATCTAAGATAAAATCTCACCTTTTAATCAAAAGTTTGGAGAGAAAAATAAATAGAACATCTGATGGCTAGCATATATTAATCGTTAGTAAAATTTTCAGTCTTTGAAGCACAGATACTAGATATTTTCTAACTTGCTAATGGAAATCAGGATTACTAATAAATCAGATATGAAAAAAAGTAATCTCATTTTAATTCAAAACAGGATATAGCTTAGTTTCTTTCAATCAAAGTCATAATTACATAAGTTACTAATTTTTACCAAGTTGTACTTCAACATAAAATATATACTAAAAGAAACAGCAATTTAGGGGGAGGGCGATGAAATTCCACAAACATTTACTACTTAGTTACTCTGTACTAGAAACTGTAAAAAAGGGCACATTTGATAAAAAATAGAGGCTGCAAAACTGGGTGAGGCTTCCTGAATATTACATTTCAGTGTGGCTCCCATAAGTTTAAAGGTGCCTGAGATGTAAGGTGGGAATAACCCATCTTTAAAATACTTACATTCTTGTAAAAATAAAGAAAACGCTCAGATTTGTTCTTAGAATATAGTAGTCTCTTAAAATCGGTACCTATTTTATTATCAGTTGTATAATGATAGTTAATATTTTTATCATAATAACTTTTAGGATTAAAATGATAGTTTATACTGATAGGCCAACACGAAAAGATTTTTTGTATAAGATACAGCATCAAAGAACTGCTGACCAAATAAAAAGTCACTGGTTTTACTTTAATTCAAAGAATGAAAGAGCAGGTATAGATATTGGAAAGTGAGAAAATACAATTCTAGATGCTGCAGCTGTGCAATACTACAAAAAGTCACATATTGAAAAGTGGATATGAAACTAAATCACTATTTTCTTTTTAATACATCTATATGTTTAATGTTAATTACTTTAAAACCAAGAGTCAATATCAAAATTTCTGGCTGTTTACTCTTGAGCCATTAAACACATTAAATGTCTTTCTGATAATGTGTGAACCATTTCCCCAAAATGAATTTAATGGGCAGAAGCAATTCATGTTCAACACTGCTATAGGACTTCTCACAGTTTGAGGTAAATCTTCTATATACTGGTGTACTTCCTTAGCTGCAGCTGCTAACCTTATACTATTTCTTTTGAAGCCGCTTTGGTAACAAACCAAACTAGTGTTTTTACTATAGTAATAACTTACACATAATCTTTATGTGTTAATATAGTACTACTTATACATAATCATTCATGTGTTTGTTTAACCATATTTATGTACTTTGGTAGAAAAACCAGAACATAAGATAAGGTATCTTAGAGATCATATACTTATTTGCCAACACACAACTCTCCTTTCTTCCCCTTTTCCCTTTAATGGGAAAATTAAAGCCAGGGTCCTTTAATGTGTAAAGTGAGATTTTAGGCATCTGCAAACCAGGCTAGCCAAAGAGTTTTGTTTTCTACATTATCATTTCCACAAGTCTGTAAGCCCATCTCATTGTTTAGCTCATTTCTGAAGTTCCTCCATTAGGATTGATCTTCAGCACCCTGGGTACATAATCCTTTGTGTGTATTTTTGTTGTTAATCTTCACCAGAGGATATTTTTTTTCCAGTGATTGTTAGAAAGGGAGAGAGGGAGTAGAGGAGAGAGAGAGAGGGAGAGGGAGAAACACTGATGTGAGAGAGAGAGACATCAACTGACTGGTTGCCTCCTGCATAAGTCCCAACCTGGACAGGGATT